TTCTTCATTCATTACTGTAAAACAAAATTCACCTTTCCCCCTTCATCCACAAATCATTTACATAAAATGCCTCCAATGTGTTTTTTAAAGTCCTTACCTTCTTTTTTTTCCCCATCTGCTCAACTGTCCTCAGTTTTGAAACCTTGCTTTTATTGCAGCAGTATCTTATGCAGTCAGACCAGCTAGCGTCACATTCACCCTGGTCAGGCACCGTGCTGGAACCCATCTCTCTACTTCCTCGTCACATCCAGCACTACGCTACCTCCAGGCTCTACTGCCTTCCTTTCAAAAACCCTGCACAGTGTTGGCGCATTGCTCCTTTTCCTCCCCCACGCCTGCCACACCTTCAGCCTTCTGCACATTTGCTTACTCACCAAAGTCAGTACACACAACTGTGCTCACTCACATAGCCCCATGACATATTCATATTTGCCATCATTAGAAACATCCAAATACTGTACATGAGTCACAACATACAGTACTTATTGTATATACACATACTATGGCTTTTTTTTAGGTGCTTATGTGGTCATGTTACAGCACATGTATAAAAAGGCTTTAGTGTGTGAGTCTGTCAGATTACAGAGAATCATAAACAGAATGCATTATGTGCCATAAAGCACAAGATTTAGGTTCCCCATCATAATTCTGGAGTCAGTAAGAAACTTGCTGTGCTGGCAATGTGAAGTTTACAGAGGAAGGGAGCTGCACATGTGACATGATTTTACAGTTCAGCAAAGCAGTTTTTCTTTATATCAAAGCTCATATCATTTACAAATCCAGGTCAATGAACTTGAAGAGATGTCGTTAGAGCACCTACAGTACATTCCTACACGGGACCCGAACCTACAATCTTAACAGCCTATCAGGAACATCTGCTGCATAACCCAACCAAGCAAACATGCTCCCCATGAAGCTTTTAAACATGCGTCACTGTACTGCAATAAAAAGAGCATCTGATAAATATGACATATAGCACGTGCACAGTATGAAAAAAGATTAGCCTTTTCAAGAAACCTTCATAGGATGTTACAGGGTATCTGCAAGATTACAACTAATACAACCTTGTAACCCCATTATTAAGCTGTCTGGTAGAGCAAAAACGCAAGGGACACAGCATGCCTCCCTGGAAAGCTCTTGGTTACAGCATTATCTGAATTCAATGTCAACTCAATAACCTTGTGAAAAGAGGCCCTTCTTTACTTATGAGTGTTAATTGAAGCTGACTTGTTTTATTGAGAGTTTGAAAGCAGAGAAGTCCTGACTAAACAGGGATTTGACCCGAAGGGGAAAATTTAATCCTAATAAGTGCATTTGGAGTGGTTTAATATCACGGTGTAAAGGGTATGTCGAGTACTAGCAGTGGTCACGGCCATGACTTGACAAATTGACTAAGGACATGTAATTGGATATTTGTTGTCAGTCTATTCATATTGGGGGATTTAAAGCAGCAGTTTAAATTTACTGGGATGTTGGAATCAGCTGAGCTTCCTTAAGATGACAATGGATTGTTTTGCAGTTAAAATGGAGATGACTTAAATTTTTTATCTGAAAGACTTGCAGATATTTGAAACTGTCTAAACATCTAAACAAACAAATATAAACAAGAATGCCTTGCAAAGGTTTAATGCCCACAATTGGTCAAAACAGATTTTTTTTCACACTTGTTTTACAATGTCATAAATTATTGTCTAATTTCCATTTTTCTTTTGGTAACGTGTGTACTCATGAGACAGCCAGAGATAGCTCAAACTAAACCACTCTAAAGCTAATGAGGGAGGTACAGTAGCTATGGCTAGACCTAGCTAAAGCTAACATTGCCAGTTAGCAATACACAGTAAAATGTGCCAAAAGTTAAGTTAGCATTCCTATTGAAGTGGTATTCATGATAAATTACGTTTCCTATCATTGGTCCTTGCAGTGTGTATAAAGGCCATGCCATCATAATTTTTGTAATATATACTCTTTATTCAGCTATCTTTTTTAGTTAATTTACACGTAAATTATTACATGACAAATTATGGATATGCTACAGACACACAGAGAAACAGCACATGTTTTTGTCTGTTTTTTGTGAGTGTGTGTTTCATAAATTTGTTGTGCCCCTTGACAACTGACACAAATTTCCAGCTCTAACCTACAGCACCTTAACAGCCCTGACATACTTGTAAACTGCTCTTGACTCCTACCCTCACCTTAGCAAAGAGTAAGAGTAAAGATTAAATACTTTGTGGCTTTACCCAGCCATATTTCTACTTTGTATTTGCTTAAGCTGCTGTGGTTTGACAGGTATTTTTCTTTGATGGCCCAGTCAATAATCCACTTAGCCTAAAACCATTTTTCCCTAATTATTTTGGACTTTTTAAAAACACGTTTATTGTTCAGTGGGTTGCAGAGAAGCAGACAGGAAACAGGGGAGGCAGAAAAAGATGGGGGCAGACCTGCAACACATGTCAGCAGTTGGACTTGAACACCAATGTGCATACAGTATGTAGGCCTATGTTACTTTGCCAAAACCACTCCGCTATCAATGTACCAGATGGCATAAATATTTATGCACAATATTCAAAAATAAAGCATTAGAAGACTAGAACCCTGTAAATAAACCATTTTATTGCACAATCCATACCCCTCCACACATTTTTGCCTGACTATAGCACTTTTAGAAGTGTCCCACATTAAGCAAATCATACTGTCCCACTTTAGGGAACATGTTTCCTAAAGTGGGACAGTGGAAAATTAGATTGAAATGACAAATATAGAGCATATTTACACCATATTATAATGTATTTGATAAACAGACATACCATTAACACATACTGATCAAAAACTATCAGGAATATTCTATTTACAAGAAATGTATACCCTTAAGAAGTTAGCTTGCTTATATATATTGACAAGGGCACCTTTTGACTCAGAATTGTGAGAGTTGAGTTCCTAAACACATCTATGAAACAAGACATGCTCTGGTAGATATCTAGGGTTACCAATAGTGGCACTGAATTCATCGGTTAATTGATGTGATTTATTGAATCAGGGTGTTGAAAAAGCATTACTCTAAAAAGATTCCAAATATTCACACTGCAACTCATTGAACATTGTAATAAATGACATCCTGACTCCTGATCCAGAGAAACCAACCAAGTAGCATTTTATATCCCCTGGCCTATATGTTGCAACACCAGTCTTTTTCTAACTGTAAAGGCAAAAAGGAGTTCTCACACCGGACTCATTTCATACTGAAGATGGTGGGTATGATGCAAACATCAGGCAGGCCAACGTCTAGGTAGTACTGGGATTGGAAATGTCTACATCTGTGAATCTTAACTGGGAGTAATGAGTAATAACTGCTTTTGCAACATGAATGGCAAGAGGCAAAGGTCCTCTTGATGGGGCGTTTGGATGACTGGCGTAAAACTGGATATGTGATGTATCTATTACAGAAAGCAGTAAAAAAAAAACATGGTTAGTGGCAGTGCAGGCATAATCTTAATCTGGAGACTAGAGCAACACAAAAATGTTCAGTCACTAAAATCAACTTTACACATGTGTTTTGGTTTTAGGTTTCTGAAAACCATAACCCTTAAAAGCAAAGTGTATGTATGAGATGACTTTTTCCCATTTTGAAATATTTTGTAAGTCATTCCAATGGACAAGCAGTAAACTGGAGTGAAGGTTTGAAATCAGGGAGAGAATGTGATGGGCAGCCCTGGCGTGTTATGGAACACAATTGTCTTTCTCACATATTTGGCAGATACAGTATGACCAGGGCCTGATATGTTCTCAGTCAAAGAGGGACCAATGATGTTTGCAGTGAGAATGCCAGGTAGCTAACACACACAATAACAGTGGTGTGTTTTGTTGGCAGCACTGGAGAACTGTGAAAACATCAGGCTGCTCAAAAACATCCTTCTGTGCAAGTTGCCCTCCCAGTCATTTTTTGACAGCTTGGAGTGTTGACATGGACAGGAAATACAGAGCAGGACTGATTGGTATGACATGCACCACAGGACCTAGCTGGAAACACAATGGGGTCATATGCACCCTAAACAGTAGACCAGACACCTAGCTTCCACTGTCTTAAACCATCAGCTACATTTCTGGTACCTACAAACATTATGACTCAGAAAGCAGTCACTGAAAACATCATGAATATTCTGATTGGAGTTAAAACATATGATTTGTCATGTTTTCCTGTGGACTTTAAGTTTAAGACTTAAGTTTCTTGTAGCAGTAAAGCTTTTCCCATCTTTGTAATTTCAGGGCTACTGTTCTGATGTTCAAGGTTACTAGCTGTAAGTTTTCATTCATAGTGATTTTTTAAAAGATTACTTTTGGTATGGATTGGGCAGCACACAGAGGAGACACAGCATTCTATCATGAAACAAAGGTCTAGTGGAATCAAACACTGGGAGATTAGGTGGTATGGGCCCCACTGACTGATGATAGTTTGCTCCTCCATAAATCCAGTGTACTTAACTACAGTTAAAGGGGAACTTACAATTTAGCATTGCACCTTTGATAAGTTTGATTGGTCAATGGGAAACAGCAGGCACCAAAATGGCTTTGTCTTCTGTTAGATGCACCCTGACTGATAAATTATTATATCTTTTACAGAATGTCCTAAATTTGAAACACACTTTTCAAAGGTTTGAAAAATTGTAACACCAAAGCCCGATCCAAGAAACCCGTGGCTTATTTTTTACGCTTTAGAAAGTTTAAGGGCCACAGCAAACATTGTATAGCTCTTACAGATGCACTACTCTTTGAGGCACATAAACTGCTCTTCACGTGTAAACTTGGAGTGCCCCTTTCAGGCCTTATGAAAACAATGCTCATAATTTTTTATCAACAAGAATTGTTTATATAAACATGATGAATGCTGTTTAACATATTGTTCTGGTTATGTGAGGTAACCTCACTCCTCAGCGCGTCAATTGGGGCGTCTCTCTGTCTCCCTCTAGCGGCCGATACACATCACAGCGACAAAAAACAATAATCTGTCTAACATCATACCTGAATGAAAAACACCGGGAAAAACCCAGACCACTGTTTGACAAAGGCGCATATTTGGAGGAACCTGCATCTGGGCAGAGATTAACACTGGAGGAAGGAACTGAGGGGCACGCTTTCAACCCCATCACCGCACCTCCCTCCATCTCCAACCCAACCCATATGATCGGTCTACACACTGACTCAAAGACGCGCCCCCACTAGGCTACACACCTTTCAGGAGAGAGACTGGAGACAGAAAGCGATATGCAGGCATTGACTGGTGGTGGAGAGGGGAGCGCGGTCGTGGCAGGTCGTTGGGACACCAAACGGACAGGCGGCGATGCGTTGTTGTGTTGATGGCTTTCTTTCTTCTTCCTATATGAATTCGCCCCTTATTTTAAGCGGAGACGCAGGTGTAGCCTCTCTTCATCCTCCCGCCAGCCAAATACTACCTATTACAATTTCCCACCTCACCTTTTAAGTCAGCAAAAGGACATTTTACGCGCCGGAGTTGGAAGAATAGAACAACATCATGCTAAATGAAATGTGGCGCGTCTCTTTTGTGCGCCGTGTGTTACCGCCGTTCTGAATGTGATGCCGAGCACAGATGACTTGAACCGGGCGGCACACACGGTTCCAAGTACAGCACTTGTTCCATAAAGAGAAGATTTATTGCTAACCATGGATGACCAGGTAAGGCAACACATATTTTCCACGGTTCTCTTTAAACCATCTCGTGCGCTCTGCACAATAGCCTTGAGTGCACACGCACACACCAGGTAGGCTACACACACCTTGGCATGTATCTCAGGGAACAGCACGATATCTGATGACTGTTTTCACACAGCACACTTTGGTCTCTCCCAGTCACACTGTCTATGTGAGGGAATTCAGTTGGAGCATGTTTTATTTTTACTCCCAGGATATGAATTCTGACTATTATTACAGCAGTGTCTCTGTACCAGTTACTGGTGACTTTATAGTAAGACCTATGCCTTATTTTTTACGTGCTATATATCGGATTTTTGTCATGGTTGTGTGATGGTTCAGAATTTGCTGTGATGTTTGTGCAGTATTGTTGTAAATGCCTCCCTCTCTATGGGCCATATTATTCCTCACAGATTATTTCATGCATCCTCTAAATTGAATTGGATTAAGTTATAATGAGACATACACTGGACATGGTTTGGAAGAATGAACCACACACTAGACATAGCTAGTCTGCAGCTGGTAAAGAAGTGGCAGTCAGTGTAATTGGGCTGGGAATATGGAAGAACTAAAACATTGCCTGTAGAATTCATTTTGTGTCGTGCACTGTTGTTTGTCCTAGTTTCTCGTTCGCCTGGAGAGAAAGAGATTAACTACTTGCACACTGGCTCAGCCCTGGGCTGTCAGGGGCTGTGTTCCCCTCAGCGCCTATCAGTATAGGCCATGGTTAATTAATTAATTAACTCGTTTCAGTTAACCTAATTAAGTTACTTGGGTGAACTGGTGTGAATGTTGTCTGGGTGTGTGTGTGTGTGTGTGTGTGTATAAGCAGTTGTGCCATAAGCAGCCACACCTCAGACACATGTATGTATGTATGAAAAAGTATTAAAATACTGTGCTATATACGCCTATAATATGGGGCTATAGGATCCTATGATGTGCTATGCTATAGCTTTATATACCATGCTATACTCTATATCATACTGTTCTATGGTATATTTTACTACACTGCATTTCACTATACTGCAGTGTACATTACATCACCAGTACATTATATTACACTACACTGTATTGAAGGACAGGTATACACCATTGCACTATACTGCATTACACTAAAATACAGTAGTATATTCTACTATACTAGACTTTATATTATGTAGCACTATACTGTACTAGAACAATCGAACTGAATACAGTTAACTGCACTACAATATACTGTACTACAATATACTGTACTACAATACATTACACAGTTATACTACAGGCTACTGAACTACACAAAACTATAGTAAATCATACAATACTATGATATACTGTACTATATTATACAGTACTATTGTTTACCATACTTAACTATACTGTAAACTGCATAGAGTTTACTGTTTAAAACAGCAGCCATATAGATTTAGTAATGTCAATATACAGTATGCTACAGGAGACCAAGTTACCAGTTACTTGAACAATCTAACTATTTGATACAGTCCAAATGTGCAGCCTGTAATGAATCTTTACTTTGTGAAGCCTATCCTTTTGAGGTTTTATTAACACTGTGTCAGAGAGGTGATTATTGCTCTCAGTGCAATTTGTAATACTTTCCTCTGTGGTGGTGCTGAATGTGAGTACATGATTCTAATGTGTCATTGTTATTGTGTCAACCCCCTTTAATGAAGTGCACATAGTGTACTTAGCTCTGCCAGGCCACAGACGCCCGGCGGTGCCACTGGAGCTGTATTAATTGCTGTATTAATATTGATGAGGGTTGTCTGTGGTTGACCTGCTAGGCTGAAAACACACCCACCCACACACACCTCAGTCATCCAAACTGTTGTTCTGGAGAAAACCAGTGACAGCCTTCTTTATAGCGTTCTTTTTTTATACAACTAAGGAAGTAGATGTTTTGTGTGAATTCATGGTGTATTCCCTATGTATCTATATGTACAACTGTACGTATGCCCTTATTACACACAGCTTGTCTTTTCCTCTGTCCCCCCATTGTGTTTCTTTGTCTATATACTGTACATGCATCTTCCTCCCTTTCTCTTGTCTTCTGCTCTCTTTATCCTTATCAGTCTGCTGTCTTCTACCTCTTACGGTGTCCCCAGCGCACACACTATCTCTCCCCTCCCTTTCTTTTAGATTTCCCTTTGACATACCTTGTATCTTCATCAGCAGCTTTCTTTCACACTGACTCTTATCCTTATTTCATTCTAGTATACGATGTTTCTCACCACGGCACCCCCCCTCCGGCGAGGAAGTACACCCCTGCCGGTCAAACACCAGCTGCGGAGGGAGGAGGCTGTATCCGAGGACTGCGACTGGATCCCGGGCTTGGAGGAGCCTGCCACGTTGCCTATTAGTGACACCGCGGTGCCTCGGAACGAGTCCTTCAGCCAATCAGCAGCTGCCCAGCCAGCTTACCAAGTTCACAGCGGGGCACTGAGAATTGTGCTTCTGGGACAGAATGGTGTTGGCAAGTCGTCACTGGCTTTATCCCTGGCTGGCCAGTCAGACAGATCCCTCTCCATAGACTCTGAGACACAAGGTGGTAATGGCCCGGAAAGGAATTGGTGGAGTGTGGTTTTTGTGTGCATCTGCATCTTTTTAAACCAGTCTCAAGCTTCAGATTTGCTTCATTCAGCTGCTTATAGAGTAGAGTAAAGACTGGAAATAGGAGCTAGCCTGATTCTATGGAAAGATAAAAATGCTGTCTTGTCAGTTGAATATGTAGTGTTTCCTGATTTTATGCTAAGCTTATAGCTGCTGACATTAGCTACATATTTGGCATGCAGAGATAAGAGTGGTATCAATTGATAAGTGGATTTTTTTTGTGTGTGTATGCGTTACCCTTTCCCTATTTTTAGGATTTATGATAGGCTGAGCTAACCAGCTGTTAGCTGTAGCTGTACAGTAGCATCATAGTTAATGGACAGATATGTGAGTGATAGCAATCTTCTCATCAAACTCTTGTCAAGAAGGCAAAAAAACATACTTTTCTCTTTTCCAGTTAAAGCTGTTTAAACAGCCTTGATTTACTGTTTACTCTGTCAGCCAGTGGGTCTGTCACACATCTTACTGCAACACTAGTGGAAACTAGTGTCCCTAGTGCACTCTGACTCATGCCATGCAGTTTTTGCTGCCTGTCGTATACTCATGTATCATGTATCATGTATCATGTACCGTATGGATAGAAAAAACACTTTCATTCAAGCAGTTTAGTACATGTTTCCATATTGACATCATTATTACTATGCATGTAAATCTTATGTGCTAAATTATTTTATGAGCTACCTGTCAGAATAGCAACCTGTTAAAAAAAAACCAAAACATTTCATCACCTATTTAACACTTTTTTGAGAGTTCTGAGGTTCTCTAACACCATATTATCTCTGCACGTGGAATAACACCTTACCAATCACCAAGTAGCTAATTGCCAGTAAAAGACAGCACTGATTAACACCAGATTTAGTGTGCTCGCACCTCAAAATAGACATTTTATTCATCACAGTGAATTTTCCAGTCTTTTTCATACAACTGCTATGTAGTGTTTTCTAGGTGGCTCATGTTTAGTGCAGTACAAGGTTCGTAGTCAAGAACCATTGTTAAGTTTAATCTCTCATTACATTATTTTTTAATTTTCATGTAAAATGCAGGTAGACCGATGGTATAGTACATATGTATTGTTTGTAATAATATACCACAGCCAACAATGGACTGATTCTGTTGGCTGCCTAGTGTGAAATATATTTCATTTTATTGAATGAGCCACAGCTTTGCACTGGGTGGCATGCTCCTTTACTGCCATGAGCACTGGCATGGTAAATGATTTTGAGTCAGTCCCACATACACTGCCCTGCTGCCATAAAAACAAGATATTGCACCAGGCATAGCCTATATTGATACGCTGTCAAGGATGAGGCAGAGGAATCAAGTACACATCAGAAACAGGGAGCACTGAGGTAATTTTAGGGCTTTAATAACAAACTAGGACTAGTAACACCAGTGGAGAATTTTTTTCTGGGCAGCAGCATAAGAATAACCAAAAACTAAAGACAAACCTCTTAAAGAGAGAACTGGCAGTGAACAAGATCTTGGCAGGTAAAACTAAATCAGGCAATTAACAAGGAGGGTGACTAACAGACAAACTGAGATGTAGGCAGACAAAGTAAACAGCTGCAGACAATTGAACAGATCCAAGAACAAAGTCCATTACACCATAAGGCAACAGTTCAGAGAGGGAGCAGGCAGGGGCAAGGTCTGTAGAAACAATCTAGTTTGGCAACTTGGCGGGAACACACGAACATGGGATGATTACTGAAGGCAGGATTGGTGAGAATCAAGATCAAGAATTTTATTTAAGACCTTGATTAATTTGGTCTCAGCAGCATTTTAGACGCCTGACAAATGACTATTGCAGTTAATTTATGCTCCAGCATACATTTGGTATTACTAAGTATTTTGCCGCAGCATATCACATGTGTAGTGTTGACTAGGAGTGTCATAAGCTGTGGTGGTTTGTCATCCTGTGTGACATGACTATTTGCTTGCAGGTGAAGGCTACGAGTGCACAGTGACAGTTGACGACGAGGACAGCAAAGTTATAATCTTTGACAACTGGAAACAGGTGAGTCACTGACTGTCTGCTTCACAGTTCATTGATTCTGTCTTGTTTAGCTTGTACAGTTTAGACTGGCTTCCTGTCCTTATACACTCTGATAACGTCTTCTCCTCAAGCCTTCGTTTGCTTGTTGTAGTTTGGACAGTCTTCACCTGTGCTCAAGAAATTTCTGTGATGGATCAATTATTTGTGTCTATTCAAGTGTAAAGAGAGCGGGTTCATAAAGTACTTTGGGTTTTACATTTGTGTGTGTGTGTACAAACTGTACAGGGAGTCCTGCAGTAGCAGCTGTGCTCAATGGACTGGAGCTTTTTGAAGTTCTCTTATTCAGAAAAGTGGAACTCACCCTCTTGTTAATCTTCCATGTTTCAATTTAAATCTACAGCGAACAAAAACATTTTGGTGAAGGCTAAAACTGCTGCTGCTATGCACCATCAACCTTTTGAGGTGGGCAGCATGAATGAATTAATACGGCCCTATGGTGGTGCTTTTTGTGCAGAGAGAACTTCAGTTGCAGCAGGAAGAGAAGAGTAACAGCTTGTCAAAATGCTCTGACACTGACACAAATGAGGACATTATGTGAAATCAAAAGGCATGCAGTCATTGATGCGTATTAATAATGATGATGGGAATGTGGAGCACGCTAATTAGCGCGTGGAGTGGATCGTCCCTGATGCATCCTACTCCAGATGCACACTTGGCCTGCAGGAGCTCTCCCCTTAAGGATAAATTAATCACACGCAGCTACATTTAGCTCTGGGACACTCCACTGTCGGCCAGCTCATATCTTCACTTTCTCACTTTTTTCCCATTAACAACCCCATTTTGTTGTCATTTCTTCCGGTCTCTGTCAATATCACCTCATTGATCCACTCTCTTTGTTGGCACTTTCTCACCTTTCTCCACTGTCCATTTGCTCCCATAGTTAAATCTCACTGAGAGTTAATTACATTTGTTATTCTGAGCATGTTAGTACACAGCAGGGCATTAGAGCTGCAGCAACAGATGCAGGATAGCGGGAGGCTTGGAATAACTCCAGAACTGTCAGCAGTGGGGGCAGGCAGATAGCAGCACAGATCATCCACTAATTCATGCTCAGTTTTGTGCTTTTCTGTGCTAATGCTCATAGATAAAAGACATATACACACATATAACAACATCTAAACACAAAGTCTCTCATATACACATTCAGGTGTGTAGACAGATGCTGTCCTACTGCCCAGCATGTGTTGTGGTCTTGATCTGGAATAGCTTTAACAGCGCTTCCAGTCCCAGGAGGCAGGGCTTCTGGTCTTGTAGTAAGCTGTAAGTATTCTCTGTGGGGTACCCTAACCTACACCCAAGTTACCATAGCAATATGCACAGACACACATATACATGACACACATACTCACTCACTCACGCAGAAGATCATACTGGAGCAGCTAGCATTTGATGCCGTCGGCTGCGAGGCCAATAGTTCACTGGGCAGTCTAATCAGCATTCCCTTGCAATACAAACTGTCAAAAACGCTAAAAGACTGTTATAATCACACTGAGTGATTGTTCCTTCAAGTGCTTTCTTGGCCTGACTCACAACTGATTAACATATGAAGGTCTAGAAGGAGCTGTAATCTTCTCAGCTGCTGTGCAGGGAGCAGTACACAAACATAAGTGTATATATAGACTGTGCTGACAAATGTGCACTCATGGGAATGAGCGCATTCTGCATCGGCATGGTCAAATGTGCAAAACATATCAACATACATGTGCACAGAAGGCTGACAGTCTGCTCAGCCAGACGCTGGGACATTGTGTGGTGCTGACATCACAAGGGTTGGATAGTTTAAATAAGTCATCCATATGCCCAAAATAAAACACTGGCACACTTAGCCCTAACCTAGCAGTCTATGCTGTCCCATGCTGTTTTGACTGACATTAGTTGTGTAATGTATCTCTTCAATAGGGCTCTATATGTAGGGAAGGGACCAAATGGGAAATTGAGGTCACTCAAGGCCAGAAGAGCCTACCCACAATAATGCCTATGTCTGCATTTATTACAAGCTTGAGTCAGCCTAGGAGTTCCCATTATTATTTTATAGCTTGAAATTAAAATATTTATTAAAGATAACCAAAAGGTGCCACCTCAGGCAAGGAAAAATGTAGGCCGGTGGTGAATACTGCATGTGTCCTTAATCAGTGTGCAGTGAAGCAAATTTGCTGCTGCCCCAGAGAAATCGATTGTTCATCACATTATAGCAAATAAAAGAAAAGGTTTAGTATGTAATTTGGAAAAAGATCATTGCTGCTTGACCACATTCTTTTGCTCAGCTAGGAGGGGAAGAAAAACATCGCTCTACCATGCAGTTCTTGGAACAGAGACTGATTTTGGCATTGTGTCTGGGGAATCCCTCTTCAGACATCTTTCTTGTTCTAGTTTACTGTTCTGCACCCCGAGAGTCCTAAAGGTCACATACTGAACGCTATTATACGTTAACAGTTTAGTTTGTTTTATTGTCCACTGGTAATCAATAATGAATGTATTGTGTTTGTGTAGAAAACTCAGTGTGTGAAAACCTTGGCTGAAATCTCAGATCAGTTATTATATGTAGAGGATCTACATAATCTGTCTAAATCCTATTAAAGTTTTAAATGGAGTTATCTAGATCAGTAGGATTGCAGATAGACTCCATGAAATTTCTTTTAATCTTACTATAGACAAACTTAATTTATTATGTACAGAAGGAGATAGGCTGTAATATTAGATAGTGGACACGTGCAACAGTTCAGCAACATGTTTTAAATTATGATCCTAAAATATTCAGTCTGATAATAGATTTTCACTTACAGATTTAAAGATGCATTATCTAAGACTTTACACATTGTCTGATAAATCCAGTGAAAATGGGACAGGACATGGTGTGTCTCAGCTAAAGCACCTCCCTCCATGTCACTCTGCCGATACTGTTGTTGTTCCTGCTTCTCTACCCTTTGTTTTGATGGTCGGGTTGGACATTAACCTGACATTGTGCCACTGCATTGGCAGGATTGCAGCTATCAATAGCTTCAGACTAGTGGCAGCATTTTATACACTTGTCCCAACCAGGCATCCATAGTTTACACTGTTGCTAGAAAACAAGACTTCACTTTGTTTTGAGTTTTAGTACACTCTCTTTAAATTGACAATACGGTTCATAAAGTACTACACTACCAGTACAATTCAAAACAATGCAAATAATTAAAAAATGTTTGTCCTTTTTTCTTGTTGATGTCTCTCCTGTTTTCCAGTCTGCTGTTCTACTTCTTTTCTGTTTTCAAATGTACTTTTACTTTTTTGCCTGAACAATTTGACGTCATCGTCACTAGCAGTGTCTGAGCTCCCAGTGTAGTCACTGTTATCACTGTATATACTTCTAGACAGACACAAACCCAGCTGAGAGAGTTCATCAGATGATCATGAGAACTGATGAAGGTGGCCAGCTTGAAAACTGGCTTAGCTATTGTGTTATTTATAAAGCAGTTACATGAGCCGAGTGACCAGTAATGACATTCATTCTTGCTAACCAACATTAGCTAAAATTGACATTAGCATGGTAGCAAATGATAAAAATCTACAAGATGATATTTACTCAACATACCTGTCAACTGTGACAATGGCATTTAACAGTGCCACTATTCTTCAGAAGTGCTGTGACTTATTCTTACCAAAAATTATAACAAATAATCTTTTTATAAAGTACAGTCTAGTTAAAAATACTCTCAACCTAGTTGTCATCTGCTAGTGTCAGTGCCATCCATTATTGTCAGGACATTAGTTCTTGCCATTACAGTAGTTCTAAGCTCAGTGTCTAGCAAGGACAACCTAATTAACAATGCCATTCACGGTGTCTTCAGTACAATCAGACATTTTTGTGTTTTAATTGCACATCATGATCTACTCATATCCTATAACCTCAGTCAAGGCAGCAGGTAAAGAGGCAGAAACTGATTGATCCTTCTGTTTACATGCACTGATTGACAGCTGGAACCTCAGAGAACTTCTTAATTTTTCTGTTTAGGCCATTAATGCATTGGCAATAGTTCTATTTGAATAAATGATTTTGGACAAAAAGTCAGGTAGAAGCTTATCAATAGCTTTTCACAAAATATTTTTATTGTCGAGGCAGTACATTATTACATCCGAGAGGTAAATCCTTTCTCTCATCCTCCCTCTGTCAAGAGGTCAGAGGTGAACCACAGGGCAGCATTTAGGGATTTGCTAAAGAGCAGGGTGGAGGAGCCACCTGCCGTCATATTAAAGCTTGAATCTGGGCCATGCAGGGACACTCACAATACCTGTGCTTGTGTGTGTGTATGTGTCAGGTGGTTGTTGTTCATGCATTTATACTGTAGTCTGCAAGTTGCACTGAGTCTGTGACATGATGTCAGCTGCATTTTATGGATGATTGCTCACAGAGGTCTTGTGATGGCCCATACACACACACAGTACGTGTGTGTGTGTGTGTGTGTGTGTGTATGTATGGCCAGTTCAGGCCAGATAGTCTCAGTGATATATTTCCTTAGGGAAAGCATTGTCTCTGTGCAGCAGAAAGGAAGTGAGAGAAAAAGAGCAAGCCCACTAACTCAGCATTCCATCTACACTAAGATGTATTATCCTGTCATCAGATTTGGACTTAGCTACTGAGCAAGGTGTTGTTCTCTCTCTTGCTTCTGCTTCTTCCTCCACTCCCTTCCTTTTCTCCCGCTTTTCTTCTGTTCCCTTCACTCATCACCCCAGCATCTTCACTGATCTGCCTCCTCATTCATTTTGCTCTGACAGGCAATCAGAGAGAGAAAGAGAGAGAGAAAGAACTCAAGCCAAAAGGGCAGAGGTGTACAATGTGCACTTGTTTGCTTTTGATAAAGGCAAATGGTAGCATGGGAGTCTATGTATTTATCTGTGCATGTGTGCATACTCTGTATGTTTGTGCAAGCAGGTGGGGATGTGTCTGACCTTTTGTTTCCATGTACTGTAAACACTGTAAGCTA